GTTACGGTTGAGATATATAAGCATTATATTAAAGTCATTGAGAGCATGAGAGATGATACAATAATACAGTCAGGCATGTTACATAGTACCATTGCTCATCTCAGCCCAGCTTGGTGGTCCACGTGGAGAGAGGGGGAATGGAAGGAGGGTAAGGTAGACAGGGGAGAGGGGAGTAACCAGGGAGTGAGGAGCAAGAAGCTGGGAGTCAGAGAGAGAGACCTATATTGCTGGCTCACACCTATATACCTTTTGGGGGCAAGCCAGCCCACTAATTACAGGTAGAGACATACGTCACAGGAAGGGGCTGCACTATAGGTTACACAGCAATGAGAGGGTGGTCTAGGGGGTGGTCTCTGGGTCTCCATAGGAACATTATCAGTAGGGTGAAAACTCCGCCTACAGGAGCCAGTCCATTGTCCCCAGGGGCAGGGAGGGATGAGACAGCTGTCTGGCAACTGATTGCCCTCAGTGGGGGAATGCCTGTGCATCTGACCTCCCCCCACAACCATTGAAGACAAAGCAGGTGAATAAGCAAATGTGGTGAAGAAAGCTGATGGTGCCCGGCTATCAAAAGATGTAGCATCTGGGGTCTTAAAGGCTTGAAGGTAAACAAACAGCTTTCTAGCTCAGAAACAGCAAAGCCCACATGGAAGAAGCACATCAGCCTGTGCAATCACGAGGTGCCTAAGGGATCAGGTATCAGGCATCATCAGAACAAAAAATCTTACCATAGTGAATGATGTGGGGAGTGCGGAGTGGAGACCCAAAACCCATTAGTAGGCCACTGGAGATCCCCTTGCAGAGGGGTCTCGGGCAGAAGAGCCAGTCAGGGTGCGATGTAGCAACAATGAGACATACAACTTTCCTTTCGTTCCTAAATATTTCCTCCTCCCCCACTATTATGATCCCAATTCTACCTTACAAATCCGGCTAGACCAGAGGATGTACACTGGTACAGATAGGAACTGGAAACACAGGGAATCCAGGGCAGATGATCCCTTCAGGACTAGTGGTATGAGTGGCGATACTGGGAGGGTGGGTTGGAAAGGGGGAACTGATTACAAGGATTTACATATAACATCCTCCCGTGGGGACTGACAATAGAGAAGTGGGTGAAGGGAGACGTCAGACAGAGCAAGATATGGCAAAATAATAATTTATAAATTATCAAGGATTCATGAGGGAGGGGGGAGCGGTGAGGGAGGGGGAAAAAATGAGCTGATGCCAGGGGCTTAGGTGGAGAGCAAATGTTTTGAGAATGATGAGGGCAATGAATGTACAATGTGCTTTACAGAATTGATGTATGTATGGATTGTGGTAAGAGTTGTATGAGTCCCTAATAAAACAATTAAAAATAAAAGAAAAAGTAATTTTATGGTTGGGAGTCACACCATGAGGAACTGTATTAAAGGGTGGCAGCATTAGGAAGGTTGAGAACCACTGGTTTAAACCAATCCAGAAGTACCTCCAAAGAAAAGCCTTGTGATCCGGTTCAAAAAGGGCACGACCTTGAAAGCTCTAAGGATCAGGGCTCCTCTCCATGTGCGGGGTTGCAAAATCGTGGTTCACTCAATGCTGAGTAGAGTGAAAATACTGGATCCTATAGGAAAGTTTATTAAGAGCCTAAAGAATGAATGATTGGCAGGAAAACACTTTAACTTATTAATGGGAGTGATTCAGAAAAAATCTGAAGATTAAAGACGGCCCGAATATGATCTGTATTTTAATTCTGTTCTATATTCATTGTTGACAAGTCCAGTCTGATTCATAAAAACGGCACAGGGCAGAGTAGAACTGCTCCAGAGTCTTCATGACTAAATCTCTACTGAAAGCAGACTGCCAGGTATCTCTCCCCGCCCCTAGTTAGCTGGCCATGGCTTGCTTAACACTTGCACCACCGGGGCTCCTCTATTGTATAAACAAAAACAAAAACCCCACCATTATCAAGTAGATATGGATACATGATGGCCTTATAGGGTTTCAGAGAGGGAACATGATGCAGACCACCCCTCATCTTTCTTCCACGCAGCGGGTTTCCAACTGCAAGACCTTGCAGCGAACAGCCCCAATGCTTTTCCCCCAGTGCCACCCAGGCCTCCTCCTCCTCTGGTCTATAACCTTACATCCATTGCCATCCAGGGCCTGGTAAATACTGCTAACACATGGTCCATTATCTGTGACAAAAGAAAGGTTTCTCCCTGGATCAAATACGTGAGGGGGCTTCAAAAAGCTCACGGAAAAAATTTCCATTATCTTTTCTATTTTTCCAAGAATTTTTTAAAGGCCCTCTCAGAAGTATGGCACTCTGGTGTCGGGCTGTTAACAGAAACTCGCCGGCTCTTTGGGAGAAAAATGTGGCTTTCTACTCACTTTAAGATTACAGACTCTAAATGATTTAAAAAAAAAGATTACAGACTCAGAAACCACCAGGAACAGTTCTGCCCGATCTTATGGGGGTCACTATAAATCAGGATTGACTGGAGGGCAGTTCAGTTTTTTTATAGCATCTTATCCACCACCATTCATTCAACTTTTTTCCAAATCATTTTATTAGAACATAATGCAGACATCATACCATTCATCAGTTCAGTCACCACCACCCAACTTTTAAAACCAATTACAATCTACAATTTGGGTGATTTCTTCAATCTTTTCTAGATTTTGTATTACAATGCTCTAGTGAACAGATTTCAAGTATGGGCTTGGTTATAAACACATGGCTAAATTGCATAGAAATGACTATCCTTTTAATGTTTCAAATTACAAAATACATCTACACATCTACATTTGGAAAGTACAGAAGTACAAAGGGCCCCTTGGTTTTCATCTTAATTCCACTTTGTGACACAGGGAGTCTCTTCACTGGGGATAAACAACTTTTAAGGGTATTAAATTAGATTTCAAGTCACCTAGTTTTGCGTGTTACACTTAATTTTTGTAATATATAATATATATGAAGTCCATACTTGAAAACTTCTAAAGAACATAAAATGTATTCAATTGGTGCTCATTATGTCCGATTTTCCTTCAAATGGCGTTTTAGCATCAATTGCGAAACTAGAAAGATCTTCAGAAATTAATGTTAAATGCCATTTTAGTTTAGTGCCATTTTCCCGAAGAACTTCGAGAAGTCCCCACACATAAACCTTGGTTACTATTACTATCTCGAGACGGGCCCCGAAAAGGTAGCGTTGTAACATCAAACTGAATTCAACTGTAAATTATAACATTTCGATCATCCTTTTGAAGAGGTGGCTGGCTATCTTTCAAGAAGCCTTGACAGTCCATGAACACCTGAAATGCGAAAGATACTCAAATCACACATCATGCTCGCTGCTTTTAAAAGGGCACATCTGTTCCAGCCAACCTTCCTCTTCATTCCACAGGTTCACCGGAGCCTACACGTTGTGCAATTTAACAAATCGCGGGTCTCCACAATTTTATCTCGACTACTCACCCTAGACGACAATGCGAATGAGTTTTTGCTGAATTCCTCCTGAGAGTAACTAGCACTCATTCTTAGAAAAGTTTTGGGCGAGAAGTACAAGACTCAGAAGCTAAACTTCAAAATTAATTTCCACCTATTCTCACCTGTTGACTTTCCTTAAACTCAAGACCAAAAAAATAAAATTACGCTTCTAAAAAGTAGCAGTTCAAAGAAAAGGGAGGACCCGGTTTCGGAATTGCAAATGTGAGTAGAAACGAAGTAGGAAGTGTCCGGAGCCTCTCCCAGCGGAGCTCCAGGAGCGTCGCCGCCGGCGTTTACGAAGAGGCGGGAAGCCGTCTCCCGCCGAGAGCTGCCGGCCCAGCGATCGGAGAAGAGCCACGGGGCTTCGTCGCCGGCGGCTAGCACCCTGCCGCTCTCAGCAAACAGAGCCGGCGACCGGCTAACGCCGAGGGCCTCCGGCCGACCCCGAGGGGCCCCAGCGAGCCGTCAGACTTCCGATCCCGTCCTCATCCTCCCGTGCACATCATTCTCGACGGGGCGAAACTCGACAACCGTCACACAGAGCCCATCCGGCCTCTACAACGCGCCGCCGCAAGCACACTAGGCGAGTGGACGCCGACTCTTCGCCCGTGGGGAAAATGGCGCCCGTCACCCTTTCTCCCTCCCGGGTGCTCACAAGGGCCAGCCTCCCTCCCTCGCCACAAAATGGCGCCTCACGCTGAGGCCCCGGAATCGGCATAACTCCCTCTTCACGGAGGCGGTCTCCGACTGGGATGAGCGGCTCTGCCAGCCAGTCAGACACGGAAGCTTTGATTCGTACTCTCTCTGAGCCAGTCAGGCGTAGGCTTGTAGGCTAGGTGGTGCCGTCGTTACGAGAAGAGGCGGGGCTTCGGTGGTTTCCTTTCGCGTCGGCTAAATGTGGTCCAATGGCAAGCAGGAGACGTCCAGTGAGTGACGTGACGCCTGCCCAATGGAGGCCGGGGGCGGGCTTCCGGCAGTCTATGCGGATTGCGGGGCCCGGGGGCCGGGTGGCTGTTTCCTGTCCTGGTGCATGGTGGTCGGACGAAGGAATTGTTGGAAAATTTTCTCGGAGGTTCGTATATAAATGTGTTTTTACCCAGTGTGCATTATTCTCCGCCCGGCCGCCGCCCTCAGCGCGGCGGCGCGGGCCCGCTCGGGCCCGGGCTTCGGCCCTTGCTGCGAAAGCCCCGCTGCAGGCCCTGTCTAGCCTTCGGCCGGCCGCGGTAGAGGCGGCTGGGCAGAAGCGGAGTTTATTAATAACCCGCGGCCGCCACTCCGGGCGGCGGAGCTGGTCTAACTGAGGACGCTTCTCCCCTCCCCCCGCAGTTTTGCGCGCTGCGCCCCGACTGTTCCCTCTGGGGACCGCTGAAGGGAAGGAGGCAGGGAGACAAGGGAGGGTGGAGCCCTCGGGAGCCCGGCGGCGCTTCTCCGCTTGGCCTCCACGCGGAGTGAGTCCCCGGGCGCCTGATGGCTGCCCCGGCGGAGCTCCTTGGGTGAGGACTCGGGTCCACGGGCGGCATCAGGCCCCACCTGGGCCGCCGGCCGCACGACTGGCCAAGGGCTCCTTCAGGACCCCTGTCTGCAGAGCGCACCCAGAATTTTCGTCTCCCCGGATCATGCACAGATTACTTCTTCCCAGACTTGTCTGTTTGGGGGACTGCTGGGACCCAACATCGAATATTAATCATTGGCGATTTTTTTTTTAATTTGGATAGTCAGTGTGACATTTGTAACATTTTATTGAACCAACATAGTGAACCCATTTCCCTCTTTTGCTTTTTAATACTGAATCCCCGCCTCCCGTTGCTACATTAACGAAGTTAAAAAAGTAGGAAGGAAGAATACTATCACTAAATGTACTACTTTTAGTAAAAGCTTAACTTTGAAAATATCTATCCAATCTAATATAAGTAAGCATGTAATGAGAAGTCGTAGGCTCAAGATTGTGGTCTGCTTGGCCCTGAGTCTTTATAGGAGGTACATGGGAGGTATGTATATACACACATATACATATATATACATTTGTTTATTTTTTTTCTTCCCCTTAGTGCTGTGTTAAAGTTTAGGAAAAAGTTTTGGACAAGCAGATGATCCACAAAGTCCGATAATAACTAACTTGATCCTGATTTAATTTTGAATCAGTTGGAAATTATTTAAATAGTACATATGAGTGTCAATTTTGCCCATAGGTCTTTAGAAAGAAAAGTTTATTGAGCTATTCATGTGTGTTAACATCAATTACTTAGTATTCACAGACCTGGGACAGCAGAAGTGCCGTGCCCCCTGTGGTTTCAGAGACTAAATCTTTGGGAGTGTGGAAAGCTTCATCTTTAAGTCAGAATCAACTTTTGGTTTATTTTTGTTTGGTTTATTCAGAGTACCATAACTCACCTCAATCCAATTTAGAACATTTCGTCACCCACAAAAGAAACACCCCCCCACCATTTCAACCCTACTTTCTGCCTGCAGATGTACCTGTTCTAAATATATTACGTGGTTTTGCGCTTTTTCACTCAGCATGTTCACAACATTTAGTCATGTTGCATATATCACTATTTCGAGTGTCAAGTATTTCTTCATATGGGCATCTTATTTCTCCTTCAGTTGATATACATTTGAATTGTTCTCACATTTTGACTATTGTAAATAATGAAGCTGCGGTCATTTCTGTGCAAGTTAGGAAACCACAAAATGGCCCTGCCCTCATAGAACTTATTGTACAGGTCCAAAGTCTGAGCAGTGCTATGGGTAAGCTTTAGAGGGTGATATGATAGAGAATTGGGGCCTGGTGGTAGAATGGGATCGGAGAACTTTTAGGACACCTGACTTTCTATTAGAAGGGGGGGGGGTGTTTCTATCAGACGGAATGTTATGCAAAAGCCTTGTAGCAGGAGCATTTGTGTGTTTCAGGACCTCCAAGATCAGCCTGGCTGGGTTTGTGTGAGGAAGGAGGGCAATCGGAAAGCCCTCTGCAAACGTGTTGTGTTGAACTGTTGGTATTTGTTGAACATAAAACCATCGGTGTCAAATATCCAAAGATGCATAAAATGCAATATCACCTTTAGAAGGAATTGAGTCTACTTGGGCAGACTGGAAGTGGATGTTTAAGAACTGCTCAGAGAAAAACACTAGGTTTCAGGAGTCCGAAGCCTTTCATTTTAAAGACAGGGTTATGTAAGCCTCACTTTCCACATCTCTAAAAGGGAAATATTTGTTGCATACCTCTGAGCCCTTGGGAGTTTATATACATAATTTCTTTTAATCCTATGTAATCCCTCTCAGGTGTGCCAGAACCCATTATGGTGCAAGGAGCTGTTGAGGTTGATTCAACAGTAGCCTCCTCCCATTACACTCCACCCCCACACCCACCCACTGGCTCCAAGGAGAAAAACCTGGCAGTCTGCTTTGGAATGAAGCAGTTCTCTGTTTTAGGGGGTCACTGTGAATCAAATTCAGCTTGACGGCACCTCATAAAAACAAGGGGCTTGCTAACCCCTCTTCCCCCTCATTTTCAAACAAAGGACACTGAAGCTTGGCACAGGTAAATTGCTCAAGGGCCAGGCAGGATTGAAATACACAGCTCACAAGTGAATTATGGGTACGATTATGCACAGATGCAACCTAGGATGATAAAAACTGCATGGCAATTCAGAGTGGCCTGGGCTATAAGCCAAATAACAGCAACTGTTGTAGGGTCCAGGAGCCCTGGTGGTACAGTGAGTTACTCAGTGGGCTACTAACCACAAGATCTAGACTCTAGAGCAGGGGGCCAGTTAACTGTCCCTCAGACCCATTGGAGGGCCGGACTATAGTTAAAAACTGTGAACAAATAACTATACACACTGCACATATCTTATTTTGAAGTGGAAAAAAAAAAAACGGGACAAAAACACCCGGCTGGCCAGATAAATATCCTCGGGCTGCATGTGGCCGCCGGGCCGTAGTTTGAGGACCCGTGCTCCAGAGGTTTGAATCCCCAGTGCTTCTGTTGGGTAAAGATGTGCTTTTCTACCGTTGAAAACATTTATAGTCTCGGAAATCCACTGGGGCAACTGTACTCTGTTTATAGGATCACTGTGAATTGGAATCAGCTCAATAGCTGTGAATTAGAGGAAATTTAGTGCTTGTATTTTATTTATTTATATAGTTACTAAAAAGAAACCCTCAAAACCAAACTCACTGCTATTCCCTATAGAACCTGGTACAACTGCCCAGTATGTAACCAGGGCTCCTTTAAAAGTTGCTAATTTTCTTTCAGTGATGAACACAGTACTGGTTAATTTATTTTTATTTTTAAAATTAATATTTTTTAATGTACATAATTTTATGTCATGGAAATCTCCTTAGGCATGGGTAAGCCAGGATGGTGGTTCATTCTATCAGGGGCCCTAGTGGAGTCCAGATTATGAAATTTAGACCAGACGGTGAAAATGAGAAACACACAGGTTTTGCAACAGGTCCTTGCTATGGATTTTAAAGCATTTGGATTGTGCTGTGCAGATTAGGTGGAGGGCAGTCGGAGTGGGTTAAGAAACTGATAGAATAATCCAAGAGGATGATGGCCTATCCCAGTACCAGAGTCAGTTCTAACTCAGGGAACCGTGAGTATTACAGAATCGACTTCCCTAGGGGTTTCTTAGCTGGATGCTTTACAGCGGCAGGTTGCCAGGGCTTTTGTCTGTGGTGCCAAGGGGTGGTTTCTTTCAAATCGCTTCTGACACCTGTGGATGCTGGTAGCAGGACGACAGGCTGCTGAGACAAGGGACTGGACTTGACAGTCATGTGTAGCGTTGATTTACCTGATTACAAATTTCGTAAATTGGTATGTTGCTGTCAGGTGCTGTGCAGACTGGTCAGACTCAGCAACCCTAAGATACCACTATGGTGTGCTATTAACCTTCTCTCACTCTGTAGACAGTGAACTGCATACTTCATTATTCGAGTACATATTCGTAGTTGCTTAGTGAGGAAATAATTGTAGAAGCAAAATCCTGAAGTAGACAAGAGGAGATCTGGGCCACTCTACTCGCAGTTAAATGAGTGAACCTTTTGTGTTTTACTGGGAGATTTGTGAGGAATTCAGTGAAGCAACTAGAATTAGTTAGTCTGAGTTACTTGCCATTTAGCCTCAGTTACTCAGCAGTCTGTTGCTCCTTTGCAAAATCTCTTATTTCCTAGTTGTCCCTGGAGTGTGTGGGGGTGGGGGTGTTTCTTCCCTATGTGAACACACATCTTCATCATGGAGAAAGGCAGAGATTTACCATATACAGTTTCTTCATTGATGATTCCTGCAGTGCCCTTGACAGCATCCTCTGTGTTAGATTTTGCCCCATGGTTCATTATTAACGTACATGAAATTGACCACCTTTCATAAGGTGACTCTTCCTAAAGATTTAACTAACGTAGTCCTGTCTACACCACTGGAGAAGAGGGTGACAGAACCACCTGCGTTGGCTGGTTGTGTCTACAGAAGTTATCTGTGTATTTTTCCATTCGACTTGATTTTTCAGTCGGATAGAAACCACAGTTGTTGAAGCTTTCCTAAAGAATTCAGCTTTCAGAAGAGGTAACTTTCCCTTATTGTGGTTATGCCATTTACCTGTTAATGCCACGTGCAGCTATGGTTACTTGGCAATTTGTGAGTAATTGAATGAAAAAGACAAATGCTACTTAGTCTGAGTTACCGTAACATCATGACATCAGTGACCTCGTAATCTAGATAAATGAATACTGTTCATCTCACATCAGGGAGACCTGCCCCTAGAGGACAGGGTAGAACTGCCTCCGTAGGCTTGCAAGACTTAACTCTTTACGAGACTAGAAAGCCTCATCTTTCTCCCTCAGAGTAGCTGATGGCTTTGAACTACTGACCTTACAGTTACCATGATGCCACCAGGGCTCCTAGTTTTCTAGGCACTAGACTCACGTAAACATCCTGCCCATTCTCCAGGAGAAGAAAACATAATTAGCGAATTAGTAAATACATGTGGCGGGTCCACCAAAAAGGACTTGTAGAAATACAAAGAGGAAAAGGGTATGTCATAGTTGGGAGGTACAATTTAAAATGGGGTAGGGTAAGAGACAGGAAAATGCCTAGGATGTTTGAGGAAACATGAAGATACCAGGGTGGCTAAAGTGAATGAGACAGAAGAGTAGGGAAGGGGGAGATCAGATCCCTGATATCACAGGCCCATGTAAGGATTGTTGGATTTTGTTCTGATGTGAACTCATCACCAGGTAGTAGAGAGAGGAGTAAGGTACAATCCAGCTTTTCAGAAGACGCTCTGTTGTGTTGAGCAGATACTGTGGGGAGGAGGCCAGTCTTGAAGTCGGGAGGCCAGCTGAGATATTTTTGCAGTAATGCAAGTGAGCATGACGGTGGCTTACATCTGGGAAGTAACGATGAAAGTTGTGAAAAGTGGCCCGGGCAAGGATCAAATTCTGAGATCCAACCTAACCTGTGGATGGACAGTCTGAGCAGCTTGAACCATGTTTCACTGCAATGACTCTGACTGTGGGGATTTTAGAAATGGTACAAAGCTAGTGGGCCAGATTTGCCCATATGTATAATAACATCGTGTGGAATTATGAAAAGCATGCCTAGAACTGTAGATTGTTATTACTGCTTTGTATCAGTGCGACTTTGGCTTATTTCAAATACTGCTTTGCAATTTTTTGTGGTTCTTACTGGTTCTCTATTAGAGCTTTTATTTCTTAAACATCATTTTTGGGTCTCAAGTGTCTATATTTTTCTCCCAGGTAGAAGATGTTGTTAGCCCAGATAAATCGAGACTCTCAGGGAATGGCAGAGTTTCCTGGAGGAGGAATGGAGGCTCAGCACGTGACCCTCTGCTTGACAGAAGCAGTGACCGTGGCAGGTAAGCAGTCTTTTTCAAAGGAATCATCTACATCTAAAATTGTGTTAGTCCGGGTAGACTAGAGAAACAAATCCATAGAAACTCGTATGTGTATAAGAAGGAGATTTATATACAAGAGCAATTGAACATTGAGAAAACATCCCAGGCCAGTGCAGATCAAGTCTATAAGTCCAATATTAGCTCATATGTCCGACACCAATCTATAAAGTCCTCTTCAGACTCAGGAAACACATGCAGTGACGCCGAATGTAGAAGATCACAGGCCCGTGGGTAGAAAGTCTTTGGATCCTGTGGCATTGGAGACATCTCAGCATAGGCAGGGGTTTCTGCATCACGGTGAGTCCATTGTCTTGTCAGCTGTTATGTCTCCCAGGGTGTGAGCAGAGAAGTGTCTCCCGCCTCCAAGGAGGAAGTCCCGGATTTCCCAGAATCCTTAGGAGAAAGCCATGCCCACACAGAGGCCTCATTGGCTATGATCTGATTGACAAGCTAGATTCCACCCCTACCCTCAATCCTCAAATTGACAAATGATTGTGTATCTACCACAAAAATGCCCATTTCTCTTAAGGAAAAATGAAAACTTATCAAGCTGTCTTTATTTCACTGTTCCTAATGTAACAAAACCTGAAGCATTTCTATTAGCATTTTTAGCTTGGGGTGGGTGCTGAATACATTAGGGTAGGGAAATAAATAAATAAATATCTTATATTTCTGCCTATACTTAATACTTAATTTTTTTGAAATATATATTTTATGCTAAATTACATTTGACTGTAAGTTCAACTATCTGCCTTTTTGTTTAGTTCTCATTTTAAAAATTCATCATTTTAAGCAGTGCACATTTGATTATCTTCTAAAGGAAATAATTTTTTTTCCCAATAGATGGTGATAATTTAGAAAATATGGAAGGTGTAAGCTTGCAGGCAGTAACACTTGCAGATGGTTCCACTGCTTACATACAACACAATTCTAAAGGTATGTGCCTCGCACACAGCCAGCCGTCTGGATAGTACCAGTGATTTGAAATCCCTAGCACCTCTTTCCCTTGTCAGTCTCTCATAGAAATGTCTTCTATAGCATGGTCATTTTAAGTAATTTTAATTAGACTTAAACTTTATTGTGATAAGGTAGAGCTACCCTGTGAGATATTTGAAGTTTATCAAAATTAGCCAGCAAAAGCAAAGCAAAATTAGCCATCTTACGCTTTTTTTACTCAAGGTTTTGTAACATTGTCTGTGAGCCAGTGTTTATTTTGTTCTAAGAAAAAGCCTGGTCCTCAGACTCCTTGATTTTTATGGATACCTCCCGAGCACATGCAGAAAAGGAAAAGCGTTTATAGCCCCATGGGTGAGAATCACACTTGACACTGGGCCACACATCCCTGTCCATCTTCCCGGCTTTGGTTGCCTATGGTCAGCATCACTTCCTCAGGGGCTGTGAAAGTGCTATAGCATTCCCACACACATAGCTGCTTGTGGAGTGATCCACTAAGTGCACGTGGGAGTGGAGGAAGGGTGGCTGAGGGAGGACTTTCTGTTCTCTGTAGGATCACTGGATGTATTATTGAATTGCCTCAGAACATTGAGGAAGAATCAAGATGAACATGATCTTAAGTAGTGTATTTTTTTAGTAGTGTATGTATTTATAGTCAATATCATTTTGAAATTGTATAAAGTTAAATTCTTGTTTGTGTATGTTTATTGTCTTGAATCTTATGTTTCAGAAGGAAAGCTCATAGATGGCCAAGTCATTCAGTTGGAGGATGGCTCTGCTGCCTACGTTCAACATGTACCTCTACCGAAAAGTGGTAAGTATCCAAAGTATCCACTACACAGGAGACCCTCCTTAATGGCTTATTTCTCTGTCTGCTGCCTTCTGCTCTTTTATATTAGCAACACTTGATCCTGATTTCTAGTCTTCCCTCTGAAGGAATTGAAATTTTGTCTCAAAGATAAAGGAAAGTAATTATTTCGTTGCTGTCAATATAAATGGGCAAAAGCTCATCGTGATTTTCCTAATATTTGAGCTGAACCCCCATGTTTCTTGTATCTTCCAACTCTTCTCACCCCTGATATATATTTCTAAAATAAGTATTCTAGGTTTTTGTTTCTTTAACCTTTTAAGCACTTAGATCAGCAACTTAGATCAGCTTTATTGAAAATAATTAAATATTCTTTTTTTTTCTTCATTGTAAATATTGACTGGTCCCAAGAACTAGTAAGACTAAGTGTAGGTTGTTAATATGTATGTAACGATGGTTTGTTGACTGTTGCTGCTAAGTGAATTCATCACAATGTGCGTAGAAAACATGAGATCTAAATGTAAACATCCTTCACGAGCAGGGGACAGTTTGCGGCTAGAGGATGGGCAAGCAGTGCAGTTAGAAGATGGAACCACCGCATTTATTCACCATGCCTCCAAAGGTAAGACTGGCTTTGGGAGAAGCGGCGGTGGGTGTGGGACAGATGAGACCTGCTTTTAGCACCTGACAGGTTAGCCTGTGAAAGAAACAATTGTACTTACTCTCTGATATACAAGATGGCAGAGTTTGGCGTGGTTTTTGGAAAATTTTCTGAGAAATTTGGCTCTCCAGCAAACCTAATATTCCTGGAAGATATCAAGTGTAGATTGCCTTTAAAATATGAAATTATAATCAGAAAGTATAAAATAAAATATGAAATTAGACATTTGAGAGTTAAATTCTTATTTTCTTCCTCTTAATTACTTTTTTTTGGTTTATGTTGTCATTGATTGCATCTTTTTTACTAAGGTCCTTTGCCTATTGTGTTTATCTTTAATTAAAATTAAGTGAAGTTTTTTAAAAGATCTGGATTGAATCGATGAAATACACAACTTTCCTTTAGTTCTCCCCGCCACTGTCATGACCCCATTTCTGCCTTACAAATGTGGCTAGATCAGAGCATGTACATGGGTGCAGATAAGAGCTCACAACACAGGAAATCTAGGACAGATAATGAGAATAGTGATACCAGGAGGGGAAGGGGAAGGTCGGGGGAGAGAAGGGGAACTGATCATAATGATCGACAGTTAACCCCTTCCCAGGGGGACGGAGACAGCAGTCAATGTAAGACATGAAAAAATAATATTTTATAAATTATCAAGGGTTCATGGTCGGAGGGGAATGAACTAGAAAGAAAATGTTTTGAAAATGATGATGCCAACATATGTACAAACATGCTTGCCACATGGATGGATGTATGGATTATGATAAAAGCTATGAGAGCCCCCAATGAAATTATTTTAAAAAGAAGATCTGGATTGAATAACCAAACTCAATCCCAAGCTTGAATTCACTGCTGTCCAGTCAGTTCTAACTCAGTGACACTATTGGGAAGCATAGACCTGCTCCACAGGATTTCTTTAGACTGTAGGTGTTTTCAGAAACACTGCCATATCGTTCTCTCACACAGGGGCTGGTGAGTTTGAACCACTGACCTTATGGTTCATAGCCCAATGCTTCATCTGTGGCACCATCAGAAAACCTTGAAACAAATTAACAAGTCAGCAAGTCATTATCAACTCACAGCTACTCAGGATAGGGTTTCCATGGCTAGATCTTTTGTGGAGCAGTTGGTGTTTTGAGCCACCAACCTTGTGATTAGCAGCCCAGTGCTTATCCCTCAGTACCACCAGGGCTTCTTTAAAGCAAATGTAGTAAAGTGTTAATGTTTATTAACCCTATGTTAGAGAACCAGGGATTTGAGATGGATTACCTAGGAGATAAAAGCATAGCTCTGTAGCCAAATGATCTCGGCGCAAATCCTGAGTCTTCTGCTCTTTCAGCCGTGTGACCTTTGTGCCGATTGCTTAACCTCCTGTACCTCGTTTCATTCACTTATAACATGAGGATTAGAAGAAGCAACCACATTATAGAGTTGTTGGGAGGGTAGAACATGAAACATGTAAAGCCCTGAAAACCATGGTGGACACAAAATGCGCGGCAATGTTAGCTGTTGCGACTTGTGGAATTGACGTGACGGCAGCAGGTTGGTTTATTTGGGGGGAGTTATTATTTATAAAATATTTTAGAAACACTGTTCTTCTTTTTTATTAAAATCTTACTTAGAAACACTGTTGATATAAGCTACCAACTTTTTTTTTAGCAGTTGGAGTTCATCATGTTCATTGTAGTTGCTAGATTTATTATTTGGCAGGGCCACTCGATAGCATTATACTGTTGAAAGGTTGTACTACAACTATTGGTATAGTTACTGAGAAGAAGGAAAAACATAGACTTTGGAGTGATATTGAACTGAATTCAAGTTCTGATTTTTCTACATATTGACGTTAACTGTTGATTGTTTACTTTTTTACTTTCCTATTCCTAAGGAAACTGATTAAATTACCCAAACCCTGCTGTGTCTATTTGTACAATCTGAGTGGTAAATATACCCCACCCCTCACAAAGTTTTTGTGTGGTGTAAATAGATGAATACATGTAAAGCAGGCCATCTAATGCTCATAGTACACATTCAGTAGAAGCTCATTTATCAGACTGTAACAGCAGTTTCTTCCGCTCCCTTAGACAGCTATGACCAGAGTGCATTACAAGCCGTTCAGCTGGAAGATGGCACCACAGCTTATATCCACCACGCAGTGCAAGTCCCACAGTCTGACACCATCTTGGCAATTCAGGCTGATGGGACCGTGGCAGGTCTGCACACTGGGGATGCAACAATTGACCCTGACACCATCAGTGCTTTGGAACAATATGCAGCAAAGGTAAGGTTTCTTATCATGTTATCCATGTCCCAAGGGCAGTAGCCAAGTTCTAGAAAGCCCAGGAGGTCAGGAGTTCTCCATGGAATAGTGGGAGACTTGGGAACAAAGTCCAAATACCAGAGGACAAATTCCAGATCAGAGATGGAATGAGGGAGAGGCTGAAAAGGGCATCCAAACCTAGGTTACAGGGAAAGGTACTCTAAGAGTAGTGAGATGTAAGTCGTGACCAACTGGTGCTGTCCAGAGAACATAACCAGAAGCTCTCATTGCTGTGCTTAGCCCACCAGGTAAAATCCCATGGAGACACACCAAGCTAGATCCCTTAGAAGCTGTGATTGCACTAAGACTCCCTCACTCAAAGAAAGGAACACTTACGACTGTCAACCTTTCTCCCATCCATACACATCTTTGTAATGAAATATTCACTGAAGTAAGAAAGGAAACGAAAAACCAAACAACAAGAAGCAAATGTCTCAAATGTAAATATTTTTATTTTCCATTAAAGGAGGCAGGGAAGCATACTATAAACAAATAAGAAACGGAAGTCAAAGTCAAACCCAGAGAATGTCAAGGAGAAGAAAAGCATTTCTGTTTAAAAAAGAAAGAAAGAAAGAAATATTGGAAGAAAAAGAAGGAAATGGGTTAGGAAAGCACATAACAAATGAGATGGGTAGTATAACTCACACACACACAAGGAAAAATTTCCGTAAAGAAATAGTAAAGTATAGGGGCCCTGCTAATGAATTAAGTGGAACTCAGAGATTGGAAATGGTAAAAGTTTCAGCTAATCTTTACATCAAAAGAGCTATTATGTTTTTTATTCTGCTTCAGAAAGTTTGTAGGAAGATTTCATTGTCTTTCAGCTCCATTTTTCTACAAACTTTTTGAAGCCCCCCCTATATGTCTTACATAATTTGAACATTTATGTACTTTTTATTAATGAAATTTTCAAATGTGCACAGGAGATAATAGCTCTCCTTGTACCCATTACCTTGCTTAAGCAATCACCAAATTATGAGACTTTTAAAAAATTCACTTTATTAAGGGCTCATACAACTCTTATCACAATCCATACATACATCCATTATGTCACGCACATCTGTACATTTGTTGCCATCATCCTCAAAACATTTGCCTTCAAATTATGAAACTTTTAAAGCTTTATTTTACTCCCACCACATTTCTAGGTATCCATTGATGGCAGTGAAAGTGTAACCGCCACTGGAATGATAGGAGAAAATGAGCAAGAGAAGAAAATGCAGGTATTTAAAGCTATTTATATAGAGATACACATATATGAAATCATTCCTTTCTGTTACCATTGCTAGGTGCATCTGTGCACCACAGCAGGTATTTAAAGCTATTTATATAGAGATACAGTACACATATATGAAATCATTCCTTTCTGTTACAATTGCTAGGTGCATCTGTGCACCAAAGCTTGGATAGCGGAGTCATTGCCTCTCCAGAAAGATCCCAGTTTAGGAAACACCTGTGTGCCTGGGGCAGCAGCTTTCTCACACTTCCTCAGCTCACAGGGTTGCCCATATGGATGGAAGTGGCGCTAAAGGAAATAGGCATATCAGTGAGATCCAGCTACAGCCTGTTTTCCTGGGTCCAAAGTAGCGTTGGAAACCAAGAGTTCTTCTGACCACCCACCCGTGGTGGTTTGTAGGCTCCTTGTTTGTTTGAGGTGAACTTGTTTGTCCCTAGAGACTCCCAGTCTACTTCATTTTTTACTTTTCCTCCACTTTTTTTTTTTTTTTTTTGTCAAAGCCACTCAAATCACTATTTATGGTTGCGAGATAAAGGATCTAGAAGGATTTGTTTTTGCACAGGGGAAGGACTTTTTTTTTTTAAAGAAACAGACTATATAGTTTTGTTTTGTTTTTTTACATAGTCTATAACACAAAATGAAATCAACAACATCTTGTTAAACCCTCCTCTTTTTTTCTCAAATTCCAGCCGCCCCCGGCCCCCCCCTCAAAGCACACACCCCACACACCCCCAGTTCCCTCCCCATCCCTGGCGGCCTTCTCCCACTCATCAGCCTTGTCTGTTGGTGTATAAACCATGTTTCTTCTTTGCTTTTCTTTATAACAATGGTGATATTAAGCATTTATCTCTGTGAGATTGACTGAGTTTGCTGAGCATAATGTTCTCTGGTTTTGTCCATGTCTTGTGGTGTTTTAGAGAGTTATTGAAGCATAAAATGTAGCACAAATGTAGCCGAGCTTGTTTGTCCATTCTGGATCATTTCCAGATTCTTTTTCAGCGGCTCTGTTCTTGCTGTGACTTAGCCCCCCACCCTGCTTTTTTATTTGCTACTTCACTTTTCACCACATCTTGTTTCTCCTGTTTCTTACTCATTCACTCTGTGTTTTCCTGTTCAAAGTCTGGAGGGCACACCAGCCTTTGTACCAGCTTGTTTTCTGGGCTGCGGGCAGCCTATGAGTTAGCTCTCCAGTGATTGAAGTGCACACCCCATAACCAGGGACCAGTCTAGAGCAGCAGTGCTACTGAAAGTTCTGCAGGAATTGCAGAGACGCTCGCCCATAGTTAAAAAATTCAGACATTGTGTAATTGAAATGTGTTAGGGTAGGAGAGAGTGATTGTTTGGAACTTACATAATCAGTATAGCATTTTCTTGCTCTTAATTTTCTCAGCAGTTATAGCTAACATCTTGCTGATTGCTTCTGCTTTCTCTTTCATTCTTGTGTAAGTTTTATCATATTTAACTCTCATTCTTTAAATTAATGCTTTGGCCACATTTTTCAACTTGAACATTAGCATCACCACTTAATGACTTTTTTTTAAAATCATGTATCACAATCCATACATCAATCCGTTGTGTCAAACGCATTTGTACATTTGTTGCCATCATCATTTTACACTTAATGACTTTTGAATCATACTGTTAGGGGTTATTAAGAAAATTAAATATCTATAGTAATAATAAGTGATAAAATACCAGGAATCACTGGGAAACATTTGATGCTAATAAGCACTATTAAGTAGCCAATATTTTTGTTTACCAGCTGAAGCGGTGCCACGGATTGGCAGCAGTATGAACACATTTTTCAATTCACCAAGTCCATCAGCTTTGAAATCATGTGATTTTTTTTAAATTACTATCTTTTTTCTTTTTAAAAAAATCATTTTATTTATTGAGCGCTCTTACAGGTATCACAACAATCCATAGTTCAGTCACATCCAGAAGTTGTACGGTTGCTACCACAATCAGTTTCTTTTTCCTTTTTAATCACTTTATTGGGGCTCTTACAGCTCTTATAACATTCCACACATCAATTGTATCGAGCATATTTGTACAGATGTTGCCCTCCTCATTTCAAAAATATTTTCTACTTGAGCCCTTGGTATAAGCTCCTCCTTTTTTCCTTCCCTCCCCAACCCTCACACCTTCGTGAATCCTTGATCAATTGTATATTGTTATTATTTCATATTTCACCCAATGTGTTAGTCTGGGTAGACTAGAGAAACAAATTCATAGACACTCATGTGTATAAGAATGAGCTTTCACCTTCCGGACACAGCCGCTAAAGACAAAGCGGGTGAATAAGCAAATGTGGCGAAGAAAGCTGATGGTGCCCGGCTGTCAAAAGATATAGCATCTAGGGTCTTAAAGGCTTGAAGGTAAACAAGCGGCCATCTAGCTTAGAAGCAACAAAGCCCACATGGAAGAAGCACACCAACCTGTGTGATCACAAGGTATTGAAGGGATCGGGTATCAGGCATCATCAGAACAAAAAATCTTATAGTGAATGAGGGTGGGAGTGCGGAGTGGAGACCCAAAACCCATTTGTAGGTCACTGGACATCTCCTTACAGAAGGGTCTTGGGGAGGAGACAAGCCAGTCAGGGTGTGATGTAGCAACGATGAGACAGACATACAGCTTTCCTCTAGTTCCTGAATGCTTCCTCCTCCCCCAATATCATGATCTCAGTTCTACCTTACAATTCTGGCTAGACCAGAGGATGTACATTGGGACAGATAGGAACTGGAAACACAGGGACTCTAGGCCAGATGAGCCCTTCAGGCCCAGTGGTGTGAGTGGCAATACTGGGAGGGTTGAGGGTGAGTTGCAAAGAGGGAACCAATTACAAGGATCTACATGTGACCTCCTCCTTGGGGGACAGACAACAAAAAAGTTGGTGAAGGGAGACATCGGACAGGGTAAGCAAGATATGACAAAATAATAATTTATAAATTATCAAGGGTTCATGGGGGGGGGCGGGGAGGGAGGGGTGAAAGTGAGGAGCTGATGCCAGGAGCTTAGGTGGAGAGCAAATGTTTTGTGAATGATGAGGGCAATGAATGTACAAATGTGCTTTACACAATTGAATGTATGGATTGTGATAAGACTTGTATGAGCTCCTAATAAAACGATTAAAAAAAGAAATTGAAACTAGCAAAATAAAAATAGGAGCTTTATATACAAGAGCAGTTGAATTTTGAGAAAACATTCTAGCCCAGCCCAGATCAAGTCCATAAGTGTGATATTAGCCCATATGTCCGATACCAGTCTATAAAGTCCTCTTTAAACTCAGGCAACACATGCAATGACACCGAATGCAGGAAGATCACAGGCCAGTGAATGGAAAGTCTTGTGGGTCCAGTGGCATTGTAAGCATCTCAGCTCTGGCAGGGTTCTCCACGTGGCTTCTCCATTTCCCAAGGTACGGGGTCTATTAGTGTAGGGCCATGTGTCTTGTTAGTAGAGCGTCTCGGAGTGAGCAGAGAGAGAAAATGTCTCGTGCCTCCAAGGAGGAAAATTCAGGAGTTCCCAGAATTCTCAGGAAAAGGCCATGCCCACACAGAGGCCTCATTGGCTATGATCCAATTGACAGACTAGACTCCACTCCTTCACTCTTAATCCTCTCAAGTCCCAAATTGACACCAGACTGTGTAACTACCACACCCACATTTCTATTATTTGTCCCTTTCAGCAGGTGTGTGTGTGTTTGTGTGTGTGTCTCTATATCCAACCTTGTGATGGGTTCCCCCGTTCTCCCCCTCTCCCCTCCCTGACCACAATCAATTTCAGTACATTTTCTTCTTGTACTCCTTGGTATCAGCTCCCCCTTTTCCCCTCCCTCCTCTACCTCTTCCCCCACTGGAGCTCATTTTTTTTCCCCCCATAATAGTTTTGGATGGTTTTTGCCACATTTTACATGATCTAATACATCTATTCAATACAATTCTGTTGTTCGATCCCATTGAGTGGGATTATACAGTCATCAGTGCTATCAGCTCTCTCTATTCCCCTCAAATTATGTGATTCTTGGCAGCATTTTCAAGTCTTTGAATTCATATTACTTTACATGTGAATAAAAGGAGACTAAGATTTTTTATCGTGCATGATGTCAGATTTACCTAAGTCAAATTCTTAATGAAATGCAGACATTGAATTTGTGCACATCTGTTTGGGGAAGCTTGTGATTACTGTCACTGCCTTCAAACCCCACTATTCTTCGTTACATGAAGAAAACAGCATGGTATTGAAGTGAAACATAATTTGTCATCAAAAGCCCAGCCTGAACCTCCACTCTGCTATGTAATAGTTATGTGACTTTAGGTAATTTGCATAATTTCTCTGAATGTAAGAATCCTCAACTGTTAGGATTTTTGCCTTACCCACCTATTGGGGTCTTAGAAACCAAATAAAATTTACATATGAAGTAGTTGAAGTAAACAGTAAGAACACAACTTGTAAATTAGTAAGCACTGTAGCGATTTTAAACATGTTATACTGTGACAGTTCAGAATTCTTTTTTTTTTTTAAATCATTTTATTAGGGGCTCATACAACTCTTATCACAATCCATACACACATCAATTGTGTAAAGCGCATTTGTACATTCATTGCCCCAGAATTCTTTTTAAGACTTACTTCAAATCAAATTCCATGCGTATTAGAGATCAGAGTTCTTTGGTTTGGCCAAGAGCTACTCAGGACTCTAATCGTTAGCACAGAAACTAGACAAGCTAAGCTCAAGCACAGAGAGAGATAGTAAGGGTGCAGCAGTACTGCAGGCATCCAAGAAAAGGGATTGCTGAGCTTGACAGGAACTAGATTTGCAAAAGAGTCAAGATCAGAGGGTGATCTTTTTGACCTCCTTCTCTAGTCCCTCAGAAGCCTTAAAACTTTTTCTTCTGGAGGGAGGGGGGAAAATGAGGAGCTGATACCAAGGGCTCAAGTAGAAAGAAAATGTTCCAAGAATGATGATGGCAACAAATGTACAAATGTGCTGACACAGTGGATGGATGTATGGATTGTGATAAGAGTTGTACGAGCCCCCAATAAAATGACCAAAAAAAATAAAACACTTCTTCTATCTCTGCTGGCTTTTCTTCGCAAAATGGGCTGTCTTCACATCTTCGATTTGTACATGCTTTTTCAGGTTCACCACCTTCAAGCAATTCAAGATTCCCATTTATTCTCTGGTCAAATTCCACAGAAGGCATTTGTAGACTCAAATTGACTTTTTACTAGGTCACAAAGTCAAGAGGTCACTGGCAGTGAGTGATGTCGTTGCCTGCTGCCTGAAGGATTTGCAGCCTGGGGAGCCTTATGGAGCAGGTCCACTCTGTGCTACGGGCAGAACTGCTTCAGTGGCAGGTTGAGAGCATGCAGTCACCACAGAGTCATTCAAAATCAAATGTGTGGGGAAAAAAAAATCAAATGCGTGATGGATCCAAAGTGCTTCTGGCAGCACTTGCCCATGTTGTATCTAAGTCATCACTGCAGCCTTGGTTCTGAATGCAGGCCTGTGCTCGTAGCCAAAAGAGTATCACCAGAGTTAGATATTATGCTTCACTGCACTACTCAAGTCATTAACTTTATTCAAAGCTGTGTTTAGTTTGAGTACTCATTTGCTACACCTGAGATCGCATAAAATTGCATGAGCGGAAAAAAAGGTCACAAGTGAAAAACATTTAAGAAACTCTGGACTGTCTTATAGGCTAAATTCCCAGCATCTTACCCTGACATTAGAGACTCTTCACCGCTGCCTCATCCCTTGGCACACACTACCCTGACACCCCACCCACATAAGTCTCACTCTGGTGGTATTTGGAAAGGTGAGAGCAGGTCTCATAGAGGTAGGAAGGTGATGTGGCATTACATCATTCTTTGTGTAGACATTTATCAGTCCTTAGCATTTCCCTCGTGCCCACTGGAAAGACTGTGCAAGATTTTATTTAAGTATTTAATCAACATATGCCCACCTTTATTCAGAAACTTTTATCTATAACCCTTGATGGATACCACTATAGTACAAGACAGTGGTTAAATAGCTTGTCATTTAGCAGTTATCCTGCGATTTACTACTTGTTTTTAAGTTTAACAATTAGGAGGAAAAGTCGCATGTAGAGTCTGTATACCCAGTAGTAGCTTTTGGCCATGGTGAACCATCTTTTGTACCGTTATCAACTAACGCAGGCTGCCTCTCATTCCCCTCCCCATATAGCTTCTGTAACACCTCCACTCTGCCCATACCATTGAAACACGTGTTCTACTGTAGTAGATTATTACCCAGTGTGAAGAGGACCTGACCGGACCCCAGAGTGTAGATAGCTTTATTACAAAAGATAAAAATGATTTTTAACAAGATGTTTTGACATATATTCTATGGTAAGAAATAAACAAGCCTTCAAAGTATATCTACCTTAATTTTTATTTTATGTAAACACATCATGTAAATGAACCAAACCTATTAAGTCATAATTTTGTCCAGATTATAAATCCTAGCTTTCCTGAAAATGGAACCTATATTAAAGTCAATAAAAATAAATTTGCATCCATTTTCACATCAGAAATGAAATTCTGTATAGCATACTCATGTCCTTAATAATAAGAGATCAAAAACATTAAGCAATTAAAATACATTCATAAAATGTTTGCTTAACAAAAAGTCACTGATGCAAGGTAGTGGGATTGTGGCAGAATCTCTTTACCAGAAACCTGAGAGAGTTGAACATCATCTGCTTAATTCTTTTTTTTTTAATCATCTCATTGGGGCCTCGTACAACTCTTATCACAATCCATACATCCATTCATGGTGTCAAGCACATTTGTGCATTTGTTGTCATCATCGTTCTCAAAATATTTACTTTCTACTTGAGCCCTTGGTATCAGCTCCTCATTTTTCCCCTCCCTCCCTACCCACCTCCCTCACGAACCCCTGATAATTTATAAATTATTATTTTGTCATCTGCTTAATTCTGATAAGACTTTTATTCCAGGTTTCTCTTCCAGTCTGTAATATCTGTAGTATCTCCTCAGTCATGATGATCTTTCTCCATTCTGAAATCCTCACGATATGAAAACGCTTGGTGTTTGAGCCATGGGGCAGTCTGTGCAGACTGCGCTCTGTCACTACGGGGCTCACTGACCAGAGGGCAGACATTCTTTACTGTTTATAGGACCTTTCTTTCTAAACTGGGTGCTCATCTTTAACCAAACCCACCGTCGTCTAGTCAGTTTCGACACCATAGCCTTACGTGGGTTTCTGAGGCTATAAAGCTTGACAGGAGCAGACAGCCTCATCTTTCCATTCAGGTAGGTTTGAATCACAGCCCATCAGCACTGAAAGGGTCTGTGTCTCTTTAAAAAGAGTTTTAAAATCCGTACTGTTTTATGAATGTTTGTGGTGTTGGATCTCTCAAGGTCAGCGGTTCAAAACCACCAACCACTCTGAGGAGAAAAATGAGGCTTTCTACTCCTGTAAAGAGTTACAAAAGGTTGCTTCCTTTTTAAAGGTTTCTTCTTAATTTTTCCTTTTTTGTCTATGAAGTTGCTGTTTATTTATTTTTTTGGCCTGTTTGAAGTATGTGTGAAACAATGTTGACCAACAATAAACTGGAATTTTATTTTGCTGAGTTCTAGCAAAAAAAAAAAAAGAAGACAGTTAGTCTTGGAAACCCATAGGGGAAGTTCTGCTTTGTCTTTCAGGGTTCTTTGAGTCAGAATTGACTTGATTAGAGTGAGGTTGTTTGTTTGCTTAGTTTATTTTATTTATTTGTTTGTTTTTAATGAATACAGATTGTTTTGCAAAATATAATATTTCCTACAGTGACTCAGCTGGCCAAAATGCCTCATGTTTGTGTAAAGGGAAAATGCTTTCAATACTGGTTTTAGGATACACATCCTAAAATATATCCTGTGATGACTGAGTCTGAAAAAACACTTTGCAGCCTTATCTTTTCCTTCTGAAAATGGTAAGCTTGCCTGTTTTATTTCTGTTTAAACATGTAGTAATGGTAATTTTGCTTTTTCTAGATTGTCTTACAAGGACATGCAACAAGAGTAACTGCTAAAGCTCAGCAGAGTGGAGAAAAAGCATTTCGATGTGAATATGATGGATGTGGAAAATTATATACAACAGCTCATCACCTGAAGGTACATATGTGTGTAAAAGAAGTGCTGTACCCAATTAGGAAAATACCTAGGGCATTAAAAGTTGACATGATATAGTTGTGGCTTTCAAAATCCACTTTAAGTTTTTACCATTAAAAATCATACGTGGTCAGTTTTGCCATGCTTATTAGATACAGACACACGCACGCACATGCACTCACAGTCACACAGAAGCCTGTACAGACGTGTGCTGTTGTGCTTCAAGTCAGCTCCTCCCCCTACTAACTGTGCCAGAGTGTAACTGCCCATCCACTCAGTGCCACCAAGGTGATTCTGACACAAAGTGACCCTACGAACAGGGTAGAAGAACCTCTGTGCGTTTTCCGAGACTAACTCTGTATGGGACTAGAAAGCCTCATCTTTTTCCTGATGAGCAGCTGGTGTTTCGAACTGTTAACTTTTCAGATCGCAGCCCAATGCATAACCACTATGCCACCAGGGTGGGCTCCTCAATATGTGGGAAAGGTCAGTAAACGTTTTCTTTATATTGTTATTCATCTCACAGCAACCCTTTAAGGTAAACACGATTATGTCCCCCCTTCATAGAGAGGATTTTGAGACTTAAGAGTAGGTAGGCTCTTGTGGCCACAGAGCAAGGCAGTAGTTAATTCATGCCTGGAGCCTAGGCCCCTCTTAGGGCAGCCTCCACACACTTATCCCCATCTTGTGTGTGCTCTTTCTTCTCATTTTTTCTTTATGTATTAAGAAGTTATATTCTCTATAACGTACATAATTTCTGTAAGATTGTGATGTGGGTGAAAATTTACAAACAATTGGCCTTCCATTCAGTATGTCATACATATTTTGTCTTATGAGATATATTCAATATGTAGACCTGTATCGAGAATTAGCGGGCTGTGCTTTTGTGAAAAGTTGTTTTAGGAGACATACCAACAACAAAAGGACTTAGTGAGGAGGGGAAAAGTCTGTGTTGACCCTATGTGAGGGATCCCTAAAGCAACTGTGACTGTCTGCTTCCTTAACAGGTCCACGAGAGGTCTCACACAGGGGACCGGCCTTATCAGTGTGAGCATTCCGGCTGCGGAAAAGCGTTTGCAACAGGTAGAAACAGGAATCCTCCTTGTTTCTTGGTGGTGCTTAGGGATGGAGTCTGAGTCTGAGCGTTCTCTGACTCAGCAGAAGCACATGACTGGTGTTTCCGTCTCTCTTACCTGTGTGTTGTCCTGCTTGCTCTGGCCCTCGCTTTTCTGGCTTTTCTCCTCGGCCTTATTTTGGTGCTTTTCGCTCCGCTGTGTGTTTTCTTAGGGTCATTGTACAAACCACGGAGAACTGCCTGCCCAGTGACACATCCAGAACTAGGCCTGATAGCTGACCTCCCGACACGCACTCTTCTTTTTATTGTGGGCTCTGATTCTACCATGAGCATTTCAATTCTTTTATGAGCTGTGAGCAATGTCTATAGTACTTTTCTGTTGTTCACCTAATACTATATCATGCTTACTATATTTTTCAGTGTATTTTTGTAAAGGAAATACCTTAATCTGAATGTTTAGGGGGATAAAGTAAATGGGATCATTTTTTTCCTTTAATTTTCTTTAAGGTTATGGATTAAAAAGTCATTTCAGAACTCACACAGGAGAAAAGCCATATCGATGTTCAGAAGACAATTGTACTAAGTCTTTCAAAACTTCAGGAGATCTTCAGAAACATATCAGAACTCATACAGGTACTGATGCAAACAGAGGATGATATATAGGCGAGGAATACTTCATTTTGCGGGAGAAGACTTGGAGAGGGAGTCTCTAGAAAAATTTCAGAGAATTAGTGTCTAGGGTATGTCTCTTAAGCTCCTGGAAATCCATGCACTTTGCTGTGTGTGTATGTGCACATCTTTCCAGGATGAAGGCTGATTTTGAAAATGGTCCATGTCTCAAAAAAAGGTAGGAACAATGGCTCTAGACTGGTGCTTCCCACAGTGGTCAATAGCAGTCTGGAGGGCACTGGAATGATACAGAGGGACTGCAAAAGCAGATATCTATGCTTTATCCTGGATTATGGGCTGTAATGCAAAAGTCTTTAATTGCCAGGGGGACGCTGAGTAATTTTTTTTTTTTAAGGGGGTGGTAAGCCTAATAAGTTTAAGAACCTGTGCTCAGACCTTCAACTGTATATAAGTTTCAGGAGTTATTTGCCTAGCTTTATACTTGTAATTAGGAGCCTTGGTGTATAATGGTTATGCATTGAGTTGCTGTCCACACGGTCTGCAGTTCAAAAGCACCAGCAACTCCAAGGGAGAGAGATGGGGTTTTCTACTCTATAAAGAGTTAGAGTACTGTATTTTGTTATTGTTGGTGGCGTTACTGACTTTCTGTTGTGTATCTCTCCATGTATTTTGGTTTATGAAACCCTTGTTGGTGAATCTACAGAGACAGTAACTGGAATCAGGGTCCCTGTGGGGCAGCCGGGCAGGGTGGCAGTAATGGGGAGCCAATAGCAAGAAGTCCAATTAGGAGAAAAATATGTTGAAATTGTTTTGTGACAGTAATTGTAAAACACTGCTTGATGTGACTGAATGATTGAATGGTATGATGTCTAGATTATGTCCTAATAAAATTATTTGGGACAGGGTAGAATTACAGTCTTGGAACCTCACAGGGGCAGTTCTACCCTGCACTACAGAGTTGCTGTGAGTCAGCATTGATTCGATGGCAGTAAGAGTTGAGAGAGATACTTGTAATTAGGAGCTAAACTAAGACCACAGCCTAAGACACCCTGTTCCTTCCCCATTTAGTGTTTTTATCCTGCATCAGGCTGCTGCTGAGAAAGTATCTGAGCCCCCAATAGCCCACAGAAAGAAAGACTTGTTACTTCTCTGTGGTCTCCTCCCCTCCAAAATTTCCTTCTCTTGTCCCCCTCCCCCTATATTTTATTTCTTGTGGAATTGGTATTAGAAAGGTAATTATTTGCTATGGATTGGAGCTAGAAATGTTTCAGAAACAGTTGATAAGATATGTTATTACGGTATATACTCAAGTATAAGCCAACCCGAATATCAGCTGAGGCACCCAATTTCACCACAAAAACCACATTAAAAATGTGCTGAAAAACTCAGCTTATACACAAGTATATACGGTATTTGTTGTTGACTAAAGAATATAGCATAAGATAGTTTTGTTTGGGCTTTTGATACAAATATTTTAAAACATAGTATGTTAACTTTGTTCCTAAATGCTTTACTGATAAGTGCTCTGAAGTAGTTTAGCAAATTTCCATGGAGGAGTTTTCAAGCCTTTAAGGTTTAACTTTTAGTTCAAATATCCCAAATTTGGCTTTACTCTGCAATATTTAGGAACAAAAGTGTAGCTTCTCCTTTCATTTCATCTATACATTTACTCTTACCTGTCTTATCAACTCCAGATGTTTCAAAATTCTTGTGATTTTTTTATTTGATTTGTTCTAAAAATCTATTAAAAAAAAACCAATCATCTTAGTGCCATTAATATTTACCAAAAAAGTGAACTCTGATTCCTTTGGTGGCATTCACTCAGCAAACCGCATGTTCATATATACCAGCTTTCAGATCATGAGTATTTTATTTCAGGGG